CAGATTTAGAGGGTTTCGAACTCTTTAACAGCCCCCCCAAATCAGAAATATAACCCAGTAATAACTGAAGCAACTTACAGTTTTATCAATCTCTGATTTGAGCTTCAAATCAGGCCGAACAGTCCTCTCTGATTCTTCTTGGGCACCCTCCAATGACCTCCAAGAATCAGGCGAATGAGTCTAAACTTCCAGCCCTAGAACACCCTCATGCAGTCGGCTGGACTATACCCACATGAGAGCCACGCCAAGCTCAGGCCTACTCTGATACCAAGTTGAAAAACAGCCCTTCGAAGTATGGGACTATGTAAGATTAGATGAAAACCAGAAAAGGCAAACAGATGAGAAGGTTGGTGAAGATGAAGAGAGAGAGCTGGCGACAAGGAGAGTTAGAGGATGAGAGATTCGAACTAAACTCTCCCTCTAACACTCTAATACTATTTTATTAAGTTAATCCTTGAGTAATTACAAGAGAGGCCCTTGGTTGGGCAAGAAATTACAAAAACACAGTAAAGAAGAGGATGGGCCCAGAATAAGGCCCATTACAGACAAGAATATAAATATAACATAGAATAACAGCCTATGGACCATTCGGCCCATCTTCTCTATAGTATCAGAGCAGGTTTAGGTCTGCTTGTGAATCTCATGTAGGCTCTTCCCAACCGGCTACATGAGAGTTTGATGGGGCTAGAGTTCTAGTTCTGTTCGTGGCCTGATTCTTGGAGATTGGTGGAGTTCGAAGCCTTGCCCAAGACGTTTCTGTTCTTGGAGTTTGCTCAGCAGTCGGGAAGAATCAGAGAAAAATTTTTTGAGGTGAGACTTGGGGTTTAAATCTCAGTTTGAAGGTGCCGCCCAGAAATTTCTGTGTAGTTATTTTTCTCCTTAACCCTCCAAAGGACTGTTACTGAAGGGTGCTCTTTTCTGAAATCTCTGAGAGGTGTGGATACCTATTGGAGTTTACTGGACTGGTTAGGGTTATGAAGTTTCTCTTTTCTGAAACCTCTGAAAGGTGCGGCAGTTTTTTTTTGGGAGTTCACTGGACTGATTAGGGTTTCTGATTTCTCTGAGCAGTGTACGGACTGATTAGGGTTTTCTGATATCTCTGAGCAGTGTGCTCTTTTTCTGAAGTTTTTTCCTGGACCGAATAGTTGCCGTTCTTCTATTCTATCTGTTTTTGTCTCAGAAGGAGAACCAAGTGTGGTTTTGTTCTTCTTTGTGTTGGTTTCAGCATGGAGTTCTTTGGGGGTGAACAGAAACCTACTGGAGAGGGTGCTGAAAGGGCTGTTAGTATGACTGATAACAACCCTTTCCAAGTTACCACAATCAGATTTGATGGTTCTAACTATTTGGGGTGGTCTCAAACTGCCATGATGGCAATTGGAGGAAGAGGAAAGTTAGGCTATGTGACCGGAGATACTAAGGAGCCAGCCAAGGATGACTCTTCCCATTCCAAATGGGTTCAAGAAAATTATCTTGTGATGACATAGCTGTGCAATTTGATGCAGCCCCATATTAGCAGAAATTATCTTTGGGCAAAGACTGCCAAGGGCTTTTGAGTTGAAAATGGAAGTTAACAGTCTGAAGCAGGGGACTCCACTTTGAAATCCCTATGGCATGAGATAGATCACCTTGAAACAATCGAGTGGGAGAGTAATAAAGATGCAGCAACCTATAACAAGTTGGTTGAAAGGAATAGAGTTTTTGAAATTCTTGCAGGTCTGAATTCTGATTTTGACTTTGTCAAACAACAGCTTTTCACTAGGGAAAATGTTACCTTGTCTTGAGCCTACTCTCTGGTACATAGTGAAGAGAGTAGAAGGAAGGTTATGCTTTAAAATTCTCAGACGGAAGTGGCATTAGCAGCTACAAAACCCAAGTATAGTGGTGAGAGGGAGAAAGAGATGAAGAATGAAGGAAAGAAGGGTGTGTTTTGTGAGTATTGCAAGAAACCTAGGCACACAAAAGATACCTGTTGGAAGCATCACCCGAATCTGTTACCGAAAAGACTCAGGAATAAGAAAAGGAATGCAAATGCTGCTGTTACATTAGATGGTTCTTCTCTTCAGGGGCCTCGATCCACTTCTTTAGAGGCCATTGCTGCATTCAGGGCAGCATTGACTCAGTTGGAGAACTAAGCAACTATTCGGTCATTGCTCACAACCCAGTTCAGCAATATAGAACTAAGCACATTGAGGTAGACAAACACTTTATACGGGAGAGAGTAGCTTCAAGAGAGGTGTGCCTACCTTTCATTGCATCAAAAGAGCAGCAAGCAGATTTTCTAACTAAGGGAGTCCCAAAGGCAAAGCTTCAACATTATGTAAGCAAGCTAGACATGATTGACATCTATGTTCAGCTTGAGGGGGAGTGTAGTGAGAATGGGCCAAATGGGCCCTAGTGTTCTTTATTTCTTTTAAGTAGTGTTTAAAAGTTATGTTTCTTAGTTATGGGCCGTATGGGCCTTCTTTTATGTTCTTTAATTATTTCTTTAGTGCTGGCTGCCCCATTAAGGGCATCCAAGTAATTGTACTCAGACTTAGAATTATTAATAAAAGTGATGAAAAGGGGCTAGAGAGAGAGGTTTGAATTCTTCTTTTCTCTTCTTCCCTTCTTTCCTTCTTCCACAACCTATTGCTAAAACTTCTTTTCTTCTTCTTCTTTCTCTTTCTCTCTTTTCTTCTTTTCTTGCATTATCTAAATTACTATAGGTGTAATTTTTAACTTGCATGAATTATTGTAATTTAATATGCCGAATAAAGCCAAGGAATTGGCCTATTCCATACAAGCACCTGGACATAATGGCCTGGTCACTTTGCTTCTACAAACATCATCAGTTTAACAATCTCTACTGTCCAGTTGGCAAAGCATTAACTAAGTCTGCTAGATAGTTGAGATAACATCGGTCCTTATCCATTTTATGCATACCTCTCATTTATTCTCTTTTCTTGTTCTCCCTGTGTATCTCCTGATTAGTTCTTGTTTGGAGCAGTATTTCTTCATGTAAAGCATAAATGGTTTTACATTACCATATATTATATCATCCCATGTCCAGTTATTTTCCTAGTTTCATATGGACTAGATATTTTAAACTGATTTTCACATTTAATATCCTTGAAAGGATAAGCTGAAGTTATTTCTGATATAGGTTTTTATTTTGAAAATAGGTGGCAAGACTACAGGAACAGTTGCAAAGGGAGAGAGATCTAAGAGCAACTTTGGAAGCTGGACTCAATATGCCAATGGATCACTTAAATATCTTGGCCATTGTAGATGAGAAGGTTAGTGTAGCACATAGTCAAAGTCCCCCACATTGATCTCATTTCTGCTGTGCACCAGATTTATAATTTGTAAATGTGATAAAGACAAAGGCAGACCTCGAGGAAATTGCTACAGCAGAAGCAGACATCATTAATTTGAAGCAAAAGGTTGCTGATCTCAATGTGCAACTTCATCAACAACGTAACCAAAACTATGGGTCTGTAAATGGATCATGCCATCAGCAGCAACCGACTCCTGATAATCAAGGAACCTTGTAAGCATCATTTTATTACCTCTACTTAATGGGTTGGCTCTAGACATTCCTTTGAAACTGAGATATCTCATAATTTTTATCACCTTAAAACTAGAATACTTGCTTGCATGGTGTACAAACTCTCTTTGATGTACCCTCAGTATTTACCTACTCATTGTACAGAATGACTTGTTTTATATCTAGGTAGAGGTTCAAATATGGATGGAGTCACTTTTTCCCCTTTTATTCTTTTTGGTAGATTTTGCACTCTAAATCTTCCTGGAATATTTGTTTGATACAGGACTGAAAAACAAAACAAAGTTGAAATGAGAGAAACAGAATTTCTTCATGAAAGGTCAACAAGAAGTGAGGTATATATTCATTATTTTGGAATATAATTTATTTAGTAATCTAAGTATACTATTCCTGAACATCCCTGTAAATTTTATTAGTTTTAAATATATTCTCTTGGTCATCCTTTTGGTTGTATGTACAAATATCATTATCATCATCAAAGCCTTGCCCCAACTATATGGGGTCAGCTACATGAATCCTGTTTTGCCATTCCGTTCTGTTTGGTGCCATATCCATTGTCAAATTATGGGTGCTTGAATCATTCGTTACTACTTCCATCCAGGTCCCTTTTAGTTTGCCCCTAGCTCATCCAGCCACTTAAACTTGTAATAATAGACCACTTCTTCTAACAACTTCTATGCACATAACTGCCTTACAACTTTTTACAGAATTTTCCTTTTACCCAAAGTGGTATTCACCTGTCACATGACTCTGGATGTGCTTCTCCATTTTGCTCATCTTGTTCTAATTCCATGAGTTACATCCTCCTCAATCTCTCCTTTGTTATGAACTGTTGAACCAAGGTAACAAAAGAGGTCATATTGACTTATCTCTTGGTTTCCAATCCTAGGTGTATCCTGGATTGCACTCCTATTATTATCAAATTTGCATTGCATATTCTATTTTAGTCCTACTTATTTTAAAACCTCTTGCTTCTAATGTACTTGTCCATAAACCTAATTTTGCATTTAATCCTTAGTTTCATCGATTAATACTATGCCATCAGCAAACATCAAGCACCATGGGACCTCCTCTTGAATATGTTTAGTTCATTTATGACTAGTGCAAATAAATAAGGACTAAGTGCCGACCCTTGGTGAAGATCCATTGTAACTGCAATGGATTCTCCCACAAGTGTTCTAACATTTGTTTTTGCACTCTCATACATATCCTTAATTAACTCCATATATCAATTTGTCAACTCCTTTGTTTTCCAAAACTGATCATTTTACCTCTCTAGGGACTCTATCATATGCTTTCTGTAGATCAATAAAAACGAAATGAAAATCTCTCTTCTTCTTTCTAAACATTTTTGTTAATCTTCTTAATAGAAAGATAACTTCCATGCCCCTGGTATAAACTCAAATTGGTTTTCTGATATATTTGTTACATGTCATAACCTTTGCTCAATTGTTCTCTCTCAAAGTTTCATAGTGTGGCTTATGAGTTAATTCCATGATAATTGTTGTAACTTTAACTATCTCCCTTATTTTTAAATATAGGCACCTTGGTGCTCTTTCTCCATTCATCTGGCATCTTCTTTGTTTTTGTTATCTCATTAAATAGTGTGGTTAGCTATAATAAGCCTACCTCTCTCATACCTTTCCTCACTTCTATCGAGATACCATCCAGTCCTAACACCTTTCCCCTTCATCTTGTTTAGTGCCTCCTTCATTTTTGGTAATTCTAATATTGCAAACATATATGTCTTTTTAAAATACTATTAGAGTCACTAATCCCTCCTCCACTGACACCCTTTTACTTTTTTTTTTCATTTAATAACTTTTCAAAATAGTTTTTCTATTTTTCATTAATTTCCGGATATTTTATCAAGACTCTTTTATCTTTCCTTTTAATGCATTTAACATGATTTAAATCTCTATCTTTTCTCTCTCATTTTTGCCAGTTTAGAAGTTACATTCTGTCCCTCTTAGTGCCTAATTTATGATATAGTTCATTATATGCCCTAAATTTAACTTTACTCACTTTATTTTTTAACTTTCTTTCATCTGTTTTTATATTTTTTCAAGTTTTCCTCATTTAAGTCTTTTGCCAATATTTATTGTATGATTGTTATACTTTGATAAAATTTTGAACATCTTCGTTCCACTACCAAGTTTCTCTTTTTTTTATCAGTAACATTCAAAAGTTTTTATTAATAAATATACAAGAGATACAGGTTTACAGCATAAGGGGCATAGACCGTCACTTGTTGTCTACCCCAAAGTGATTTTACATCAAGTTTCCCTTGACACCTTTCCCCAATGCATTTTAACTCTATTTACCCCTTGCTTAGCTAAGCCAATTCTCCCACTAATGACTATTATCCCTAGTGTGTATCTGTATTTCCAGGTTTATTGCACCTTGTTCCTTAACCATCTCATCACTACCTTTGAATCTCCCTCCACAATGATCCTTCCATAGTTTGGATCTTTCCCTAACTTCAGGCCATGTAACACTGCTAATAACTCTGCCCTTGTTGGGTCTCCATAGGTCCCAAAAGAGTCAAGATAGATCCATCTGCCCATATAAACACCTCCCAATTCCTGAGGTTCCCATGTTTCCTAAGCTGCAACCATTAAAGTTCATCTTCAAGCTAGTAAATTCACTTTGCCAAGGTTCTCTATCACTTTTCTATTTCGCTTTATATTCTCCTAAAATGTCCTTTGCTACTTTCTTTATATGGTTAGCCATTTCGAGCCACATATAATCAATCTCTACATCTAAATTTCATTAACCTTTAACAAATTATGTTTACATTTAACAAATTAGTAGAATATGCATACTTTTAAAAAAATTGTGTATATCTAAATTGTTTATGGTCCATTCTAACCACATGGGTGAATGCCTTCCTGATGTAACAACAGGGTTTAAATTTGGACAAAACAATTAGTTCAAATAAGAGGACTCAAGAATTACCATCTTCAATTAACAAGCAACTGCCTCTTAGCAATACCCAATCTGTAGGGGTTCCTGCCTCTTCATCTTCTGTTGAGCCACAGGTAGTTGGAAATGTTGTTTCATCCGATCCCAAGAAATCTTCCACAAAGAGTGAGGTAGACATCTTATTACATTTTACTATTCTCCCAGCTCTCTCTCTCTCTCTCTCTCTCTCTCTCTGTAGAAAATGAACACCATACTTCTACTGAAAGTTTGAAATTTTTTTTTTGTTTTGTTATTTTTAAGCTGCTAGAATGATTTCCCCATTGGCCTTGAGGCTTTGAGTTTGTTGTAGGATACTACTGTACTACAAATTTCCTTCAGTAAGCCTTTTGGTTGGTTGTTCAAACAAAAAGAAACAAAAGAAATGTTGCAATAGTTAGGATTACTCCAAATGATGACAAAATAATAGAAGGTGTTGATTAAAGTAGCATCATGAATTACAGGTTTATGTGTCAATAGAAGATTCTACCCCAGATAAGGAAAAATAGTATCCATGTAGCCAATCTCTATGCTGGGGTGAAATTACCTGATCTTTTGAGATATTTTCTTTTTCAGTTCTCTCAGTTTGGTTGAAGTAATTAGGAGGGCTAAAAAAAGAAACAGTTCTTGCACGAGATTATAACTATGCATTTTATTATGATGCTGTTCTAAAGGTTAAACTAGCAGTTTGCTAATTTCAGGTAACTGATTTTGTAGATTGCTTCTTGAAGGTTTCTCATTTCTGTTGTTTTTCCTCCCCCTTTTCTTTGTAGGATTTACCTTACTTTCAATATGATATGGTTATTGTAGATTCTATATTGTGTGTTTGCATGTCTGTACAGAGCTGATTGTCAAAATATGATATTGTAAACGACACAAGACCTTCACTTAAAGTTGTAGAATAAATAAGTAAGATCACATGGCAAATCCCATGGTATCTGTATTAACATGCTGTGGGAATATTCTTCACACTTCACACACACATGTTACTGACAAGTGTCAATGGAATATGTGAAACCATAAAAAAAAAAAACATAAATATTTTCACAACACCAGAGGAAAGGGGCTGATTCTCCAATTAATTTTAGATGTTATGTATATTATTTGGCATTACTCTTTGGACAGTCTAACCGTGGAGTTGGATGCTTTGGTCTTTGTACAACAGGATGTTAATTTGGTTGCAGCACATAGTGACAACACGAGGACACAGGATCCACCATCTTTATCAAACAAACAACCACCTCAGAAGCATCAGGTGGATTCATCAAGCCAAAATAGTATCAAAGCTTTAGGAGCATCTGCTCTATCCACCATGAACCCAATGGTAGCTGGAGCCATTTCTTCATTGAACATTAAGAAGATCAGTGCAAAGGCTGAGGTAGGTATCTTTTCTAAATGGAAAAATTACTTAAACCTCCAATCCTCCATTTGTTTTCTGGCAAATACTTAAACCACCCTGTAGTTTGACCTCAAAAACCTCCAATCACGTTTCAAATATATATGCAAATGCACCCCTTCCGTGAACTATGTCGAAATGGAGATGTTGAAATTATGATTATCCCTTGTTATGAATGTGCAAAGTCGACACTGTTCACTCTTCAAATTTCCGGAGTATGGCATTTCTGTTAATAGGGGAGGTTTTTAAGTTCATCCCCGACCTGGCTTTTGTTGATCATGTGATGAAGTGAATAATGAAACCTACTTAAATAAAATGAAAAACCTTTTGGGGGGTAACCTGGCAAATCTTCATTCTAGTAAAGTTTCTCATGAGCAAAAACGGGATTTTAAAAACTTCAAAGTATCACGTTAGTATTTTCCTTCAGGACAATTAATGGAAGGGGTACACTTCAACATAAGGTTGGTTATAAGTAATTTTTCCTTCTTAGATTGGCACATATGAGTTTAACATCACTGATTTTTACTTCTGTAGAATATGCAATCAAGATGTTTTAGTACTTGAGGATATAGGTAGAATTTCTTTGTGAAACACGAGAAAAGCCATGTTTGCATTTGCAAGTATTCCTCAATAGCTTCTGGATTAGTTGGTCAGAATCAAATAAAATTGCATTAACACTACACCTGTGGCAAACCATAGGGAGCTGTGGCTGCATCCTCCGCCTTGACAAAGCTGACAACACGACTCAACTTCTTGAAGGAGAGGCGCATCCAAATTGCAAAAGAGCTTCAAAGCTTGGGTGAAGGATCAGAAGGTCAATCACATGGTCTTCATTCGAGGACCAAATCCAGATAATTCAAGGTCTGAAATGGTGGAGCACTAAGTTGTGATCTTTTCCTGTATATATACCTACCCTGCAAAATATGTCATGCCCCTTTTATGTATAAATGAGGTACTTGTTAGTCTTTGCGGCTATTATTTATTTAACAAGGACAGGAATATGAAAGAGAAAACTGAGCTCGTTGCTTTAGGGCTTGGTGGGGGATCTTACAAGTCTGCATGTTGTTAAGCTTAAAGCCCATGAAAAAGGGGCTGAAGTCCAGAGCACAAGATGTACATTTTCTTTTTGTTCTTTTATGTAAATCTGAGATCTCTCTTCTACTGTATAACACACAAAGTATATATAATGCCGGAATGTATGCGTGAAATGATATTTCACAAGGTTCCAAGAATTCATAAATAATTTGATATTGAGGTCATCAACATCGCCTCCATGCGCCTTAAAAATGCTTTAATGGTAAGAAGCTAAGACAGTTATTTCTCATGGAATCGGCTGATGCAGCTCATAGAAGTTGGTGAAGCCGTAAGCCTCGTCAGGCAATGTATCTGGGTCACGACTCACGACACGGGGATGTCAGGTATGTGCTCCTCGAATATATATACCTTGCCTGTTTTCTGGAGGAACCAAAGTTGGCATAGCAGATAGCACCACGCTTTGTTCTCATTTGCTGGGTTGCATATTTGTGGCTGCTTGCACGATCCTCCAATAAAGTTCAGCCCCTTACTGTGGTGATGGGCTGATGGTGGATGTTCCAAAAGCATAAAACTTGATTTGTTAAATATTCTCCAAAACTAGTAACTTGTGTTCCAATTCCAAGTGTGCTGTGTATCGTTTAAAAGGGGAAAATATAAAAACCTCTATTGACATTTTTTTTTGGACAATCTTATAAATCTTCCCTGGGTCTTGATCCTAACAAAAGCCTACCTTCTACTTTTGAAAGAAACATGGAAAGACCTCCCTTACTTTTTCTGACAGAAAGCGCTGATGTTAGCTTACCTTTGAAAAAAATTAGACCTTTTTAGAGTTCAGTCCCCCTTTTATTGATTTCCCAAATGTATTTATACACACCCCCTATACATGCCATCCCCGTAAATTGGGAATCTTTCCCCCTTACACTGATCTGAACTGTAAAAATGCATTAGGAATTCTGAACTCAAATTACTCCAAAAATTTAATTTTGTTCATATGTACCTTTATTAAAGTACCTTACAAAAAATCCCAATATTACTTGAACCTCATGGACTGAAGCAGCAATCTCCTCTAAAACTTAATTGAGTGGAGCAACAAACGAACACGCATTTTTTTTGGTTGGGTTTTTTCTACAGCCACTAAAGTAGCCTTCATTAAAGCAAAGAAAATTGTACATCGTTTGGAGCTTGCTGGCTAATTACTGTCTTTTACAGGCTACTTATGCTAATATATATGCAGCAGTATTGAAGCTTCTAATTACATGAGTTAAAGAGACAAAATGAAAAGACGAGTAATCTACTAATGCGGTGCCAATATAGTAGTTCTAGCCAATATGAAGGCTTCATATTGTTATTCAATAGAGTGAAATTGCAGATAGTCTGATGTAATGATTATCCCTTGAATGCCTTCTCTCATGAGCTGCTTCCAATCCATCTATTAGAGCTTCAATTTCAGCGTCCTAGCTGTTGACGGCCCAACATGGTCTTCCTTAAGCCACAATGGGTCATTTTGCAGAATATTGGATGACGAAGCTTCTTCCTGCACTTCTTGTGTTAGTATCAAAAGAACCATCAATTACAAGATGTAGTAACAAATTTGGGGAGAGGGAAGGATTTTCCATTGTACTGTTCCTGATGTACTTCTGAGGGTCAATCAGTGAATTCAACTAAGCCATAGCTTTACATACTATTTCACCGGGTGTGTATTTTATGGATTTATTTCTAGCGATCCAGATCTGATAGAGGAACTCACAAAGTTTCCCCAGTAATTTATGGATTTCTGGTTTTTAAAGGTTTACCCCAATAGTTTGCATCCATTGAGATATGAATGATGAGGAGCTTGACTTGTTACCAATTCCGGATTAATGCCCACTTGGCCTTCAGACCATATAGCCATCGCAAAAGGACATGTGAAAAAAAAAAAGATGTTGCCTCTGTGGTTTGTTTACAGAAAATAGAAAGTAAGTCTTCATCATTTAGCCATTGTTTGCACTTACCCTTGGTAGGATGCAACGGTATGGGATTTTTAGTTTCCAGAGGTTTGACCACTTAAAATGGGGGGAGGAGGGTGATGGGCTGGTGGAAAGAAAAGTTTTGTGTCCTGACTTAACTGTGTATTCCCCATTATTTTTTCTTCTCCAAATCAATGTATCTGAGTTCAGATGAGGACTTGGTTGAAGACTGATGATTTTATTCTCGGTTTCTCCATCAATCAAGCTTTGTAGTAAATGTTGATTCGATGGTTTTTAAAAACGACCGGGTGACCAAACCGGTCAGGGGTCCGGTTACCGGTTCGAACGGTCCGACTGTTTGACTCGAACGGCCGGTCCATTCTGATAAAATAAATAAATAAATAAATTTGGAAAACGGTCAAAACCGTTCGAACGGTTTGGACGGTTAATCGACCGGTTCAGCAATTTACTGACCAAAATCAATGGTTTTGAAAAAAAACGGAACCGATCACCTGACCAGTTCCAAGTTTTTCCAGTCCGGTCTGATTTTGAAAACAGTGGTTGATTCCAACTCGAGACATTGGTAAAGAGGCCTGCAACTTTAAGTTATTTAGTTTGAAGAGTGGTGGAGGGCAATAGATGGGGTATGCCACTAGCAATAGAGGGAACCCACGGATCTATAAAAGTAGAGATGGAGGATCCATGCATCTTTTACCATCCATAGTGAGTTCGATTTCAGTGTTGGGAGAAGGTTGTGTGCTTGTTTCCACCGTAGAGAGCTAGATCACTGAGAAAAGGTCACCATTTGGAAAATATTTTTTTCTTTTATCACGTTGATCCATAATGAGTTGGAGGCTTGATGTAACCTCCAGATCTTCTTGCTAAAGAGAGCTTTATTCATTGGTGACCATTGCCTGAAACCCAGTCCTCCCATTGATTTGGGAAGATGGTTGTCATCATTGGATAAACTGGAATTGCTTGAATGACTGATTTCACAAGAGTGGATCTTCCAGCTTGTGACAACAGTTTTGAGCTCCAAGAATTTATATATTTTTGAGCTGATTCTATCAAGGGCATCATAAAGGGATAGGTGGTGCATATTTTGAAGATGAACTCTAGCCCCCAGGTATTTGGACCCAACCATTGAATTGTCACTCTAGAGTGTGGGAAATAATTTTCTGATGTTGCCTTGGGACTGTTAAATCGTTGCACGTCTATCGAAGCCTTTTCTATCTAGTTCATATCCAGGGAGCCATCTGAAATCTGAATTAACTCGAGAGTTTGGAAGGACAAGACGGATGAGTACAATAGTGTTTGTGAAGACATGAAGCTTCACAACTACAAGCCATCTCTTTTCCAAGTGTGTGATGCAGGCTGCAGGGAGTGAATAAGTTAAGCATACGACTCAATTAAAATGAAGAGGAATACGTTATCATCTCAGCATTCTTCTAGGTAAGCAGCCAAATGCTAACAATTCAAATAAAATGACAATTCTTACTCTGAATTCTTAGATGCAACCACCACTTGCACAAACATGAAGCTTGTACAATAGGGATAGTTCTTGTCACCACAGCAACAAAGATCTGCAATATGTGCCCCCTTTTGGCTCAATACTCTAGTATTTTCTAGAACTTGAAAATGAATCCCCATCCCATATGTGCAACAAGCACAAAGAAAGCAGTCACAAATGTGTAGCAGAGAAGAATCCCATTAAAAAAAAAAAAAAACAGTAGATCTGTTGAATCTGACAACAGAGAAGACATTAATGAGAATGCAGAAAATCACTATAAGAAAAGTCAAGAAACCGAGGCATTAGTAAACAAACTAAAAGTATCCAATCTATCTATTTAACTTGAAGAATGTTGGAAATTCACAAATGTGTCATTGGCATTTTCATTTCTGTTGGAAAAAGTAAGAGGGGAGGTCTTTGCATGTTTCTTCCAAAATTGAAATCAGATAGTTGTTATGTTAGCCAAAACCCAATCCTTGTTAATGGTTAGGTTTAATATGATACCGGAAAATTAACAACCAATCAACCGGTATCATAATAGTGGTAACTTGTAAACCAGTCACGTACCGGTGGTATTCATCAAATTCTATCATTCCACCAAGGTTTTGAACTTTTGATAGGTCAAAGACTCAAAGGTGATCCCGTGGCCGTGGGTATCAAATTATCGATACCTTCGGCATTATATGATTTATAGATTTACATTTACCAAAAATGAAAAATGTTCTAAGAAAAAAACGCCGTCTGTGGGATTCGAACCCACGACCACATGGTTAAAAGCCATGCGCTCTACCGACTGAGCTAAGACGGCTTCACGAAATACGTGAATACATCAATTAAGAGAAGTGCAGTAAATTCATCCTACACAAACGTTCAACCAAGCGATCTGTTTCCTAATTCCCACGACTCTTGTAACCAGTTGATATCAAGTTATGAACCATCTGGAAGTGGAAGTTACGCCTGGAGACAGAAGAGTGGTTTGATCAATTCAATGGGATTGGCCAATGCCCATCGCCCCATCCATCCTTGATCCTAACTCAAGGCTGAAGCGACGTAAGCACCGGCGTAATACGATAGCCAGGTGTCAAGACTCAAGACCAGTAGTACTGTAGTTCGGTTAATCAGAGAAGTCAATCCTTGAATCGGCTTCCTTGTTCCATTTTGTAAAGTAAACTAATAAGGAAGTCTATATAATATAGCCTTCTTTCACATTCATGATATTGATCCACACTCAACCAGACCATACCAACAACATATTTATATCGGTTGTTGGGAAATTAAAAGAAATTCGTCGGTGATTAACTGACTACTTCTGCAGTCCAAAAGCCAAATGCTCCTCCTTGGTCCTTAAAACCAACATTGCGCATGGCCCAGCACCATATTCCTCCTGATTGACCTTTATAATCCTGCCGACCTTGCCTTTTGACTATCAAAAGGTTGCAGAAGACCTGTTCAGATGCTTATGAACTTGTAGCTTATCAGAATTAAAATAACCTACTCAGGTTTCACTCATGGAGTTATCAGTATTCAGTAGGTAGGTCCGCCTAACTCACCTCACCAAGCACAACAAAATGATCAAACTGAAGAGGGGCTTCAGGCTTCTGTTTAAGACTCGTTGCTTGCAAGTTGGTTGCAGCAACCCATTTATTATTATTTTTATTTTCGGTGGAAATGGACAAGGCAGTAGGGAGTAGGGACCCCCTTTTCATCCCAATCAAAACCCATAATTGCAACCTGCAATTCTGCAAATGGCTCTCCCAATTCAATCAAAGTCGATAATGACCATTACAGAAACAGGGAAGGTTTGTTACTAGATTCTCCTCCACTTTAACTGATTGTAATGAATTAAGAAAAAAAAGAAGAAGAAAAGAATAAGATCATACTAAGATCTGTCCATCAAATTCATCGCCCCATCCCTAAAATAAAGCAAGAAACAGGAAAGGTAGTTTTCTTGTTTATGAAAAATGCTAAACCTTAAGATAACTCAGAATTTGCAACTCCTCTGGTATCAGGAAGAGCAAGCCATGACCTTCTGAACCTTCCGAGTGAAATTTGACCGATTTACATGAAGAGAAGAACACCACCACTTTCTTTGACAGGTGTCTCTTCAAGAAAGAATATAGCCTTCATGCAGTCCATCATTAGTGGCTTCACAGGTTGTGAATGTTCCCCTCCCCCGTAATAATGGTGCTATTTTGATCTTCTTCTTTTAAAATTTTAAAATTGATAATTTTGGACCATTGGATTGACTAATAAATCTTATACATCAAAGTGAAAATGTCACACGGAAACACTCGTATGCCTGTTTTTTGAAACATGCCACCAAATGTTTATCATACTGAGTTATAAAAGGATGTTTCTTGAAACACCTAAAATAGGCTCAACCAAACAACAAGTAAACGTTTACCAGATAAACATTTATCTAATGAACGCCCGTCCAATAAACTTAAACCCACCCAAACACATACTTCGTCGCCCAGGATTTGGAATCAAAGCCCCCGCACTCACTGTCAATCTTCTGTTTGTTTGTAGTTTTGCGCCAACGAAACGAACCCCATACTTTCATGTGGCAACCACACGCTATATACATCAAAAATTCTTAAAACATACTGTTAATTTCATTTAGTTCCTCTGAAAATGGAAATAATTCATAAAATTCCATTATCAATACTATATTCTAATTTCTAGCTGTTCAATGCCTCGTTTTCCCCGTTCTTCAGGAATCAGGGAATCCAACACTAGAAGCAAAAAAAAATCAATATTCAATAATACTTAAAAATATTCATTATTATTTTGGTGGGTTCTTCGTCATCATCAATCGGTTCATCATCCGTCGTCCATTCCCCCTCCGAATTAGAAATCTTTCAGAACCTTTCGGACCTGTTCGAGGGTCACGAACAGCACTATGGTGAATGGTCCCTGCCTCGAAATCGTGGGGATAAACCCCTTGTACAGAGCCATCGGCCCCTCCGCGCGCACAGTCTTCATCGCACAATCCAGTGCGCCGGAGTAAGGTGGCGCTGCGCCGGGCTCCACCTTCATGTTCATCACCCTGGTCTTGATAACATCCACCGGATTCGACGCCACCGAAGCCACGAAACCCGCCGCGAAACTCGCGGTCACGTGTGTCCCAAGTCCATCCTTCATCAGACCGTGATCCAGGATCGTCTCCTTGATCTGATCATAGGATGCAAGTTGTGACGCTGTCACGATCATCGCGCGGTTCACCGTCAGAGAAGAGCCACGCCACAGGCTAGTGATTCCTTCCTGTTTCGCCATCCTTGTGATGGCGTCGACCACGCTCTTGTAGTTGCGTCGTTGGGCTGGGGGAAGACGGCCGTCGGCTTGCATGCGAACCATGGCAACGTCGGCTGGGTTTCCGACGGCGGCACCGATTCCGCCGGCGATCAGGCCAGCTGCTATCTTGCGAACGAGAGGCATGTTGCCCGAACTGGGGTCAGACCATTTTTGTTTCATGATATCGTAAAGGCCCATGCGGGTGGTAGAGTAGAGAGTTTGGCGCAGGACGGTTGCTGACACACCGGAGAAGAGAGCCGCTACGCCTTCAGTTCGGACGATCTTGATCCCAACAGAAATGGGACCGATGCGCGGTGCTGGAGGTGGTGGTGGTGGCGCGTGGATGGCAGTTTGGGCAGCAGCAGCAGCCGCGGAGGGGTTGTTGAAAGCGAAAGCGGGGCGGAGAGTCTGAATGGCTGGATTTGGGACGTGGGTTTCACCCTGGAGCTGCATCCGGACCTTGATGAGGTCAAGTGGGTGGGTGGAACAGCCGGCAACGATCGAGGCAATGCCTCCTTCGACGAAACCTTTAAGACCCATCTCGATTTCTGTTAGCCGAAAGATCAGATCTTGATAGGAGAGACGGATTGGGTATGGAAGAAAAGAAAGGGATTTTCTAAAAGCACTGGACTTGCAGGGGTTCTTGAAAAGAATATAAAAAAAAAAAAAAAAAGAAAAGAAAGGATGAAAAAGAAGGGAGAAGAAAATGGGTAAGGAGGAAACCGAAAAGGGCTAATGAGAGGAGAGATAATAAGACCAGTTGGAATTAGGGTTCATCTCACTGGAGACCAGGAGATGGGAATGGAGACCGAAGGCTATTGAAGAGGAATGAGGAACGGCGGGTCTCTGAGACATATGCTGTGAGGAGAAACAATGGAAGATACAGGGTTTGGGGAGTGGGAGGGAGGGAGAAATCAGTATTTATAAGGGGAGATACAGAGAGAGAGAGAGGAAAGGAAAAACGGAGGAGTGGTTCCTCCTAGCTGCTAAAATACGCGGTTTTTGAGTCCCATCGTCTCTTTCTTGCTTTGTCTCTTTTTACCTACGATGAAGATCAAATGTGGGTGTGGGTGTGGGTGTGGGCGTGGGTGTGTTAAATGTTAAATGGAATGGAGGCAGGAGCCAGCCGGTTGGAAAGGACCGGCGCTGAGCGAGTGTGACCTCTTCCTCGTTTTAGTGGTTGACTTTGACGCTAAATCGTTATGGACTTCTGGTTAGGATTTCAGAGGTGGATGAACGGTAAAAACCCCTAATTAAACCCTCCACCCCCACCATCTAATATTTGTATTTTCTTTTTTGTGTCGTTGAGTCTCTCAGTTGCAGATACATTTCAAAAAATACCCTCAGTTTTTTTTTTCTTTCTTCTTTGTCGCTGGATGAGGATCGGAATCTATTTTGGAATATGACATGACTCTACGGCTCTACCTCCATTACATAATCCATTGAAAATGAAAATAACGGAGTGGAGGTAAGAGGTAACTGGGGTAAGGGCATTTGCTTTGACTAACGCGGCAGCCGAAGCAAACAAAGTGGATCACCGTCTGATATCAATCGGACGACGTGGGACAAGCATGGAGTATTGATTGCATCAAGCCTGGGCCAATGGCCATTGATGAAAGAAGATTTGGCCCGATCTTGTAATCACTTGACACGTGGCGAAGGTAACAGCTCGACACGACAATACATCCAAGACATGAGCTCCGAAACAAGGAACCAGCGGTCTAAACTCCCTACAAAGAGCCCGAACTCCCCGTAAGGAGCCCGAGCTCTCCCTTGAGCCCCGAGCCTTGCAAGCACAAAGGGCAACGACCCGAACTGGCCTGCCCCATGGCAGTTCGGGACACACCTCTATCCGAACTCAAGACTTCACATCGCTCACCACTCCAGCACTTCACCTCCAGGACGTCAAACTGAACAAATCGTACCGCACCTGACACCGAGGAAGTCCGTACCTAGGGACAGTACACCTAACTGACTTGGGATCTGACGCTTGACAGCCGCACTCCAATGGCCACCTGCTACCGCCACCTGCTACCGCCATCTCCAGTTGTAGAAACGGCTCCGACAAAGAGAGCCGTGGCGGTTCTGTCCCAGCAGAGGTGATGACACCCGAACTGGCAGGAGCACAGGGATAATCATACCCGACCTGACAGAAGCTTAGGAGTAAGTGCGCGACATGGTTATAAAAGGCTCCCTACCCCCCAAGAACGAGGTATGTGAACTTTGCGCCATCTGGTTTTATCTTGCCTTTGAGAGAATACTAACATGAGCTTCGGAGCAATCTCACCGGGTTCCTCCCCGAAGATTCCCCACCTTCTCCATTTCAGGCCCCCTGTTACACCAGTCAGAGGCAAGGTCGTTGACAGCTAGGACCAGCCAGATTGCGCACCATCAATTGGCGCCGTCTGTGGGAACCAGCTTCTAAAAGCCTCCCTCTAAAACTCTCATAACCTCCTCTTCTTCCAAAAACCCCAACACTCATGGCTTCTTCCAGCAATGTCGGATGTGGCACAGAGACGAACACCACCGGGGAACAACTCCAAGTCCCCGTGGTGTGCATTGGACAGTTCACCATCTTGAGTGCGCCACAAACAGTGGCGCCCGTAAACCTTGCTGCCATGAACATCCCTCTTGCACTCCCTATCGAAACAACTTTTGTTGAACCAACTGTTGTCCCCCTAGCGACCCGCTAGAACCAATTTGACTACCTGATGCAATGCATGCGGGCAATGCAAGCCCAAATGCAACAATTCCAGCAACATCAACTCCAGCAGCACCAAGTACTACACCACCTCTCTCAACATCACTATCAGCAGCAGTTCCCCCAACTACCCCTGAACCAGTCACTGCTTCCACCTCGGCACCCTGCTCCGAAGCCGGTTAAGGCCTCCCCTTAGGGTGGACGCCCTCACCGAGGAGAAGCCTCCCAACTCCAAAACCCCCCTAACAGCCAGGCCTCATCCCCGGGCCGAAGGGAAAGGAAAATCACCCCCGCCTCGCTGCTCGCAGGCGGGTCGAGAACCTTGCCCGCAAAGTCAGCACCTCGGCGCTCCAAGCCTGAGTTCCCGCTCATAGAGAACCGATTCAGCACCCTAGCAGCAGACTACCAACATTCCGGGCCCATCGAGCTCGGCAACACAGAGGCCAGCAGTGCCAGTACCAGGCCCACTCAACAAAGAAGGCACTGGCGAAGTCGTCGAACTGCCACCCGTGTCCTGCCTGAGCTCAGAGGTAAAGAAGAGACAAGCTCGGACGAGGTAAAAACTACCCCTATTCTCTCAGTTCCTTCCCCCCTCTCATYAGAACTCCTTGCAGTCCCCATGCCCAGAGACTTCAAACTCCCCCCTTTAGACAAGTATGATGGGTCCTTCGACCCCAACAACCACGTCGATGCCTTCCAATCCCAAATGCACCTAGCAAGGGCCAGTGAGTCGTGCATGTGCGTGGTACAAGAACTTGGCCCCCGGGTCAATAAGAAGCTGGACCCAGTTCGTGCAGATCTTCACCGCACACTTCGTTACCAGCAAGCGGTGCCCCAGAACCGAGGAAAGCATCTTCGGAGTGGTTCAGAGAGAAAGAGAGTCCATCTGGGGCTACATCAAGCGGTTCAATGACGCGTGTTTGTAGATACCGCGACTGGACCCCGCGGAACAGCTCGCGGCGGCCAAGAGAGGAGTAACACACAAGGAGTTCAAATGGCACATGGTAGCTAGCCAGCCCGCGACCGTNACCTTTGGACAAGTATGATGGGTCCTTTGACCCCAACGACCACGTCGATGCTTTCCAGTCCCAAATGCACCTCGCTAGGGCTAGTGAATCATGCATGTGTGTGGCCTTCACCACCACCTTCAGTGGGTGGCCCGCACCTGGTACAGGAACCTAGCCCCCGGGTCAATAAGAAGTTGGACCCAGTTCGTGCAGGTCTTCACCGCACACTTCGTTACTAGCAAACGGTGCCCCAAAACCGAGGAAAGCATCTTCGGAGTAGTCTAGAGAGAAGGAGAATCCATCTGGGGCTACATCAAGCGGTTCAATGAAGCGTGCTTGCAGATACCGCGATTAGACCCTGCGGTACAGCTCGCGGCAGCCAAGAGAGGAGTAACGCATAAGGAGTTCAAAAGGCACATGGTAGCCAGCCAACCTGCGATCGTGGCCGAATTCCTCAAGCTCACGAACAAGTTCATGAGAACAGAGGAAGAGATCAACCAAAGGACCGAAGGTGGGGTCGAGAAAAGAAAAAGAGAAGGTGAGCCCTCCAACCCAGGTGACAGAAGAAACCCGGCCTGGGAGGCGAAGCCAAGCCAGCCGTCCCGAACTCCCTTAGCAGTTCGGACAGATTACACTCCGTTAAACACGAGGCGAACCGAGATCTTGATGACGATCAAAGACGCCCCATACGTAAAGTGGCCACCTTGCCTAAAGGGGAATCCAAACGAGAGAAATAAAAATCTGTATTGTAGTTTTCATAGAGATCACGGTCATAGTACCGAACAGTGTAATAATCTCCGGGACGAGATAGAGGGACTCATCCGTTGCGGGTACTTGAGAAATTTTGTACAGCATAATAATAATAAAAAGGCAGGTCGGCAAGGGGAGCACGGAAAGCATGCCCCCGAATCTAGTAGCAGACCAGCCGAAGCGTTGCAACGACAGCCTCCGGAAGAGAGGCTAGTTCGGGGAACCATCCATGTGATAGTGGGAGGTTCGGTGGTAGCAGGGTGTACTTCGGCAGCAGCCCGGACGTCAGTTCGCGAGGTAGCCCGAGAAGAACAGAACCCTCCAAAGAGGGCGAAGACAGAAGAAGCGATCTTCTTCACGGAAGACGATGCGTGAGGTGTCCACTACCCCCACGATGACACGCTTGTCATAAAACTAAGGATCAGCGACTACGAAGTCAGGCACATACTTGTGGATTCAGGTAGTTCGGCGGACATCCCCTTCAAGTCAGCATTTGACCAGCTATAGTTGCAGAGAAGCGAGCTGAAGCCCGCAAACACTCCTCTAGTGGGCTTCAGCGGAGAGGAAGTCAGGCCCCTCGGGAAGATAATAGTACCTGTGGAAGTCGGCACATGGCCTTGTGCGGTCAGACTCAACCACGATTTCCTGGTGGTCGCGACTCCCTCCCCATACAATGCCATAATAGGGCAGCCAATCACGCATATTCTGCGGGCAGTGGTCTCCACCTACTATCTGGCAATGAAGTTCCCTACGGACTTCGGTGTGGGGGTAGCGCGGGGCGACCAGGTTGAGTCCCGCAAGTGCTATGTTGCCGCCCTGAAAGGAAAAACCAAGGCGACCGACGACCTCGAGCTGGAGCGGCCTATGGAGCAGGGCGAGGAACAAGCTTCGCCCACAGAAGAAACAGACGTAATCCCGACCTCGGCTACGGATCCGGCTCGAACGCTACAGATCGGTGCTTCCATCAAGGAGCCTCTACGGACCGAATTGGTGAGTTTCTTACTTGAAAATTTAGATATTTTCGCATGGTCCGCGGCCGATATGCCCGGTATTGATCATAGCCTTATAACTCACAAACTTAATACTGACCCTGTAGTCAGACCCATTAGACAGAAGAAATGCAACTTAGCCCCGAAGCGCTGGAGAGCGGTTGACGAGGAGGTCGAAAAGCTCCTCACAACAGACTTCATAAGGGAAGTTCATTACCCGAGCTAGGTAGCCAACCCAGTACTGGTAAAAAAGGCAAACGGCAAGTGGTGCATGTGCGTCGACTACACCGACCTGAACTGAGCTTGCCCAAAAGACTGTTTCCCCCTCCCCATAATTGACTGCCTAGTGGACGCGACCTCGGGACATGAGTTGCTAAGCTTCTTGGACGCCTACTCAGGCTACAACCAAATCAGCATGGACCAGTCCGATGAGGAAAAAACCAGCTTCATAACCGAGTTCGGCCTGTACTGCTACAAGGTCATGCC